ATCATTAAAACAGTGACATGATAATTACCATTTTCCAATAAAAAATAAAATCCGAGCTCAAACTTTATCCACATGTACAAATTTGAATTAAAATACCTTCAATTTCTACCTTTATTAGAAGTGGAATATTTTCTTTAAATTTAAATTGGATTGCCCTTGAGACAGGTACATAAGCCTATTCAATAAAAATAAGAATCATTAAAATCGGTTCACAATCCGAGAAGAAATCGCATGACATAGACACACGCAAACAAATACAAATTGACAATCTCTACCTTTTATTGAAATCAGTTGAAAATTTGGACAAGAAAGTACAGTATTGAAGATATTTATAAAATAAAAAACGATTGAAAAGGCTTATCAATCTCCTTATTTGTTTTTGCCCGGTTTGAGTCTCCCAATTAAGAGATAATCGATAAAGTCGTAGATTCTACCATAAACTATTAAAAATCAACGAATCAAATACAATAAATAATTGAAATAACTTTTTGTTAATTATTAAGTGTACATAATAAGTAGTGATTATTGAATGTCCGTAGTGGGTTCAATATATTTGGATCTATGTTCGCAAAACGCAGTGGAGGTCTAGGTTTTTGTTCAATTCAATCGCACGGTCGCATACACAAACGCCACGTGGAGATGCAGGTAAGGATGTTTGGGAGGTATGTTAAAATGCTCCCGAGACAAATAAACATTTGGAAGAACGTTCCTCATTCAATTCTAAAACTCTTGCAAAAATTACAAGTCGATTCACTAAACCGTTAAAAAGTTATTGAAATTTTAAAAAATTGTAATTTTACACGTCATTTTATGGAGATTCGTTAACCGAACAGATTAAATTTATTTTTATTAACAGAAAAAAAGTTACCAGAAATTTAAAAATTTTATAATCAAGATTGGCTTTATACTAGTAAGACCAAAACCAAGACCAAAACTAAGACTGAATGAACAAGACCAAGACTAAAACAACGACCAAATATGTAAGACCAAGACCAAATACGCAAGACAAAACGAAAAATTATTACTTTAAGTGGATTTATGAGTTAAACTATTTAAAGCAACTTTAATATATTCCTATATCATTTCTAGTAGCTGAAATTTTCGGTTTTCTTTACTAGACTTCAACACTAAATATGTATAAAGAAGTAGAAACTTTACCACTGTTTAAAAAAAGGGACCTACAAGAATGTCTTTGGAGTAAGTGTTTTCTTTGTTCCTATGTCTGGTGTAAAACGTGGTTGAAATAGAAAGA